CATATATAGACCTAATCTACTTACATTCCCAATTACACACATATATGTACTTACATGCATGTATGTACACATATGTAGATATAGATACATAATGAGGAACATAACTGCAGACAAGAAGGAAAGAAACAAGTGTGTATATATGTATGTATATACACACACACACACACACACACACACACACATATATATATATATATATATATATATATATATACACATATACATACACACACACACAGAATATTAGAGAGAGAGAGAAAACACCTACCATGTGCCAGGCAATGTGCTAAGCACATTACAAATACTATTTCATCTGATCCTTACAACAACCCTAGGGTGTAGGTACTATTATTATCTTCCATTTACAGTTGAAGAAACTGAGTCAGACAGGGATTAAGTGACTTACCCAGGGTCACACAGCTAGGAAGTGACTGAGGCAAAATTTGAACTCAGGTCTTATTCATTGGACCACCTGGCAGCTGAGGAAGACAAATGATTGCTCCCTACGTAGCTAGAAAGAACGAGTACTGCCATTTATATTTCTTTCCAAGATGTTCTGTCGGTGCTGAAATTAAGATGGAAAGAACTGGCCAAAGGCACTCGTGGGTGCGATGGCAGTCAGATCCCTGATTTCATGCCACTGGGCTGGCTCAACGAGTATAATGTCAGTCCATCTGGGAAACATGCAACTTCGCCATTTAGTCACTGACTGCAAGAATTACTGCAAAAAACACTAAGAGCAGAATCACTAATTCATAAAAAGGGGCACATTCTGGGGCAGTCAGTATTTAAAAATATATAGATACAGATTTATCCCATTGTATGTGTGAAAGAGAGAGAGAGAGAAAGGTAAGGGAGTGTACACACGTGTCTGTGTCTGTGTGTGTGTGTGTGTGTGTGTGTATACTCTCTAGTATACATATATATGTGTGTGTTACAGAGTATATGGAATGCATGCATACACCCATTACATACATACATACATACACACACTTACACACATTTATAAAGATACACACATATATATGTATATACATGCACAAATACATACATTCCACTCTAGTTAATGTCAGCATAGTGAGGGATGAAACTGAAACTGATGGTAAGAACTGCTTTGGCGGGGTTCCAGAGTTTTTAATGTGATATTATTGTTAATCCCTTGACAGCAGGGACCCTTTTTGCCATTCTTTGTATCCCTAGCGCTTAGGCCTTGATCACTGAATGGGTGTTGCCTCAGTCAAACTGAGACCGGTTGTGGACCTTAGCTTGAAAAGCCCAAGGTTCCCCACTGCATGCTGGGCCATCTCCAGCTGTCCTGATCTATATCTTGCCACTGGACACAGATGGCTCTGGAGAAGAAAGTGAGGTTGGTGACTTTGCACCACCTTCTCTCACTTAAATCCAATTCACTTGCATGTCATCTTCCTGATTTCATAGTCACTCCTCTTCAAGAAAGAAGAACAAACAGGAGCAGTAAGCAGGAACTTAGCACAATGTCTGCCACATAGTGGATGCTTGTTAAGTTGAAAGGACACGACATATACAGAATGTCATTTTCCCCCCGATTTCCTCTTTAAACCTAGCCATTGTTTAATAGGTCATTGTTTTCAGCTTCTATGTAATTATATGCCTTTTACTCATATTATAGTTATTTAGCTCTAATCTTGTTTCAAAGTGGCCTAAAAATAAAACATGTATGATTTGCCTTCCTTAATTTACATAAGGTTTCTCTATATCCTAGTATGTGAGAAATTTTTTGTGAGTTTTCCACGTGTACATGGGAAAAAATGTGTATTTTCTGTTTCTTCTGTTTCTCTCCCTGTAAGTTATTAAATAAGTAGTTTCATTCTCTAATTTCTTTCTTGCTAATCCTCATTGTTGCTTTATAATATTCTTATAAGGGTTGTCTCTTATTATTATGTTTTCATGTATTTCTTCATGGACTGCTATTTTTAAAGAATTGAATTTTCTGGAGAATGTAAATTGTTCAGATCAGGGCTAAACTCCCCGAGGTACAAGGAAAAGGGTGCTAGGTGATATCCGCTCAGATCCACAAGCTTCTGCCTCTAGCAAGCATATTCTTTTGTCAATCCTAAAGGACATTAGATAGAAACACTGATTCAAAAGTTTTACAAAAACGTTAGAGATGTGTTTGTCTGAGGAGGGGAGGAAGGGACCTCTAAGATTTCTGAGATTAGCATACCTTCAGGAAAATGTTGACTCTAGAAATCTTTGCTTTATTCCTGATCTAATTGGAAAGGATTCTAGCATTTCTCCAATATTAACAATTCTGGATCTTAGTTTTACGTATACATCTTTTATCATATGAAGGAAAAGTTTTATTATGCCTATGCTTTTACATTTTTCAATATAAATGAATACCATAATTTGTCAAAAGGCCTTTCCATGCTTCTATTTATATAATCATGTAATTATTTTGTTCTTGTTATCAGTATGGCCTACCATGTTTATAGGTTTCCTAATATCAAATTATTTCTATATTCCTGGAATAAATCCAACCAAGTCATATTGAATAATCCTTTGAATGTACTGGTATAGCCTGTCTGCTAATATTTTATTCAAAATGTTTACTTCAAAATTCAATAATGATATTGGTCTATTGTTTTCTTTCTCTGCTTTATCCCTACTTTGGATATGAGGACTCTATTTTACTTATAAGGAGGGAAGGGAACAAGCATTTATTAAGCTCCTGATTTGCACCAGTTACTGTACTAAGGACTTCACGAATAATATCTGATTAGATCTTCCCAAGCAGGTGCTATTAGTAGATACTATTCTGATTCCCATTTTACAATTAAGGAAACTGAAACAGACAGAAGTTAAATGATTTGCCCAGGATCACAGAGAGAAAGTAATTGTCTGAGGCTGAATTTGAATTTAGGTCCTTCTGACTCAAGGTCCAGAAGGCCATACACTATGCCACCTAGCCGCATAGGTGTTTGAAGTATCTTCTATCTCTATTTTTGCAAACAACTTATGTAATATAGGACTTAATTGTCTTTTATTTTCTTTTCCTTTTAAATATTTGCTAGACCTCACTTGTAAATTCATCTAAACCTGTTTGGTTTTTTTTCCCCTTTAATAACATGGTCAATTTCTGTTTCTGATATTACATTGCTTTCATTAAATTTTCTATTTCTTGTTCTGTTAATCCAAGTATTTTACATTTTTATAAATATTCATACATTTCATCTGAGTTTTCCATTATACTGGCCATACAGTTTTTACTTTGGTAATTCATTCTAATTAGCTAATTTATTTATCTTATTAGAAAAACAGCTCTTAATTTGTTTATCATCTGAATATTTTATTTGTCCTCAATTTTCTTTATTTCTTTTTTAATTTTCAGAATTTCTATTTTTGTATTTATTTGGAATTTAAAATTTTGATTTCTGTATAATACTGTTACAATAATAGTTCATTTTAATCCTAGGGGGCAACATCAAATGACTGTTAAAATCCACATGGTTCCTCCTCCCCCTTCAATTGTAGGGAATTTACTTTGGGTGAAAAGTTATGAATTTAGTAACAATCATACTGAGATACCAATAAGAAAAATTCTTAACATTTGGGTAGAGATTGGTCTCTTGCCTAATTTTACATGCATGTGTGTGTGTGTGTGTGTGTGTGTGTGTATGAAAAAACAGATGCCTGTAAAGCAAATGATCTTCTTTGGTAACTCCCTTCTTCACTATAGTTCAGCCATACCTCTGAATTCTCAGAGGTATTCAAGAAAAGGATGCTAGTCCTTCAGAATCTCTCTCCTGAATCTAATATAGTTCTTTCCTTGTACAGATTACTTAGTGCTTGCCCAAGTCTTCCTCACAATAGCTTTGCTTATTTCAAAAAGGTATACAGTCCCCAATCAAGAAATATTCTTATCTAATAAAAGTAATTATTTAAGGGAGTTGAATAATAAACTAATAATAAAATTTTAAATGATAATAAAAATATAATTAAATTTTAAGTTGGTAGGACTTACCCTTACATTAGTTATGCCTTAGTTTTATGCTCAACTGGATTTTTTTCTTTTGCTGATCAACATGTTCAGAGATGTAAAATTTCCTACTACATCCCAAAAGTTTTGATTTGTTGTCTCATTGCTGTCATTTTCTTCGAAAAATTTAGGTAATATTTATTTTGTTCTTAGAGCCACTTAGTCTTTCACTTATAATCATTTTTGTAGAATGGTCTGTAAAGGATTCTTTAATTTTCTGCCATACTACATTTGTTTTTGAGTTCTTTATGTCTCAGTACATGTTTAATTTTTGTAATTATAAATTTGCATCTTAAATATAATAATGTATTGTAAATTTGTGGGGTTTTCCTGCATTAAAGTTTTAGGGTTTTTGCTTTTTGCTTTTTTTTTTTTTTTGGCAATTGGAGTTAAGTGACTTGGCCCAGGGTCACACAGCTAGATGCATTAAAATTTTAATGATGGAATATTGCATCATGTAACTATAGTATCATATTGTAAACAAGTCATGACACGCACACATTCCTGCCAATGCATGCTGGACTTAGTGCACTATATGCTCACCCGCCAACACCTGTTTGTTAAGATTTGACCGCTGATTGGTTATTACTTGGATTTTTTGTTTTAATTTGATAAATAATCTAATCACTATGACTTTAACTCTGTTACACTACAGATGAAACATGTACAAATGATTTTTCAAAATTTTCTTATCTTTTCTTTCATTATGCTTCCACCACCCCCTTATTTTTATTCAGTGTCCCCCAGTTACACCCAAGGCTACTAGCGCCCCCCTGGATCATTCCAGCACCCCCCATGGGGCAGTACTGCCCACTTTGGGAACCTATGTTTCTAGATCTAAGTTAATCTGTCAAAATTCTCACAGCACAGTTGTGTTGTGGTCAGCCCACTGTAATAGTGTTTTCCTCCAGGTCTCCCTTTTCATCTCCCTTCAAATTTTCCATCTGCATTTAGCACATTCTGAATAAAAGTTTGGGATTACCTATCTTTGATTCCCTGTAATGTAGCTTGGTTTTCTTCCACTAGTGATGTATTGGCATGCAATAGTGAATCTGTTTTCATTAGGACTCCTTCAAGTTCATTCTGCAGCTTCTGGATTTCATTGTTCCAAAATTTTTTCTTAAGAAATAAAATGAGACCCATAAGGTAAGATACAAGCTTCTCCCTTTCCCAGAGCAAAATATGGACAGAGAATTATTTTTAGAAACAATTAATGAACATTCCCAGATGGAAGGAAACTTACCACATCGAGATATTCAGTCAATGAATCTTCACATTCTTTTTCTAACTGTTTAATCTTCTGGGCCTGAAGATTCACTGCTTCTTGCAACTCAATTAACTAAATAAAAAAAAAAAGTTTTAAAGGTTCATTGTAAGTGTATAACAAGGAATAAAAAAGGAGTGAAAAAAAATTCAGCACAACTCAACAACAGATCAAGTCTGACATTATCTGTAATGTTCCACATTCATAGTACTCCACCTCTACAAAGAAGGAAAGAAGAGGTCTTAAGAGCAAATTTTAACTCTGAAATATTTAAATGGATTGAAAGTTGTATGAGGCACAACATATTTAGAAGTCACCCCATGCAGGTATGAAACAAGGAAATGGAATAGGTTCCTACAACTTATGACATTGTGTCTTCATGAGGATAAATAGACAAGAGAGAAATCCAGGCCAAAGATGGTCTCATTCATCAGTTGTATAAGACGACATCCTTCATAACTAAATTACCAATGTGCACCAAGATAGAATTTTTAGTACACAATTAAAATACATGAAGCAAAGCAGAATGTTCTGAAATAGCAAATTTAAAATACTGCTCCATTAGGGAAAGCCAATTGGCAAAGAAAAATTTTAAAAACATTTCCTGAAGCAAAATTAATTTAGAAGAGGTCATCTAGTACAACTCACTAATTTCATGGAGCAGGTAAAAGTGGAGCAGGAGTGAGGTAAAGTGACTTACTCCAGATGTGATCGCTTTTCACATTCACACCTGGAGTAAGCAGCAGAGCTGAGATTGGAAACTTCTGATCCCAAATTGTGCAAATTTTTTCTTTTTAGTTCTGGCCAGAAACTCTGAGGGTCGTCCCCTCCCAGATCAATTTTTTTGTAAAAGCAAACTGACAGCTAGGAAAGACTTTGGCTTTAAAAAGCCGAGGTCTCTCACTGCATGCAGAGCAATTGTCAGTGGTACTGACCTATATCTTGCCCCTGGACTCCAATGACCAGAGGAGAGAATGAGGCTGACAACTGTACAGTCCTGCCTCACTCAAATCCAAATCACTTGCAAGTCAAGACATGACCCTCTTGATGTCATTGGTCCATTTCTTTTTTTTTTATTAATTTTATTAATTTCTTTTGATTTATCAACAAGCACTTCCATATGCTTTTGAGATGAAAATTTTTCTCCCCCTACCTCCTCCCCACCCTTCCCAAGACGGCGCACAGACTGACACAGGCTTTACATTTACATACCCATGAAACATATTTTCACATTAGTGAAGTTATAAGTAAAAATTAAAACCCACAGGAGGAAGCATCAGAAAGATGAAACAAAACTCAACAGAAGGTAAAATTAAGTGATAGCGATTCAACTTCCACAGTTCTTTTTTTGGATGTGGACAGCATTTTCCATCCCGAGGCCTCTCGAGATGTCTTAGATCCTTGTAATGCTGAGAAGGGTTCAGTTTAACAATATTAGTCATGGCATAACGTGGCTGTAATTGTGTACAGAGTCCTCTTGGTTCTGCTCACTTCACTCAGCATCAGACCATATAAGTCTTTCCAGGTTTTTCTGAAGTCAGCCTGTTCATCATTTCTTATAGCACAATAGTATTCCATTACATTCATATACTACAACTTGCTTAGCCATTCCCCAATTGATGGGCATCCTCTGAATTTCCAATTCTTTACCACCACAAAAAGAGCTGCTATGAATATTTTTGTACATGTGGGTCCTTTTCCCATTTGTTTGATCTCTTTGGGATATAGCCCTAGAACTGCTATTGCTGGATCAAAGGGTATGCACATTTTTGTAGCCCTTTGGGCATAGTTCCAAATTGTTCTCCAAAATGGTTGGATCATTTCACAACTCCACCAACAATGTATTAGTGTTCCAATTTTCCCACATCTTCTCTAACATTTTTCATTTTCCTGTTTTGTCATTGGTCCATTTCTAAAATGAAGGACAAAATCAAGCAACCACTTTCCACTGCTATACACCATGTCTTAGGTCATAGAGCCAAGAGAGGCCAGAGAGATCAACCAGGCCAATTCTCTCATTGTCACAGATGAGAAAAGCCAAGCTTGGTTCCATTCAAAATAATGATAATATTCATAAAATAAATGAGAGCTAATGTATCAAAAAACACTCAATACCAGTATGGATACAATTGCAAAATGTTCCTTATAGAAGTAAAGAATCATTTAAGTTACCAGAAGACTATTTAGTGTTTGTTGACTGAAGTGTGCCAAGATTATAAAAGCAAAATGCTACAATTAAAAGGAAATTACAGATTCAGTACTATGCCAATCAAATTACCAAGGGGATCCTTTACAGAACTAGTATCAAAATTCATTTTGGAGATGTAAAATACCCAGACTATCAAGGGAAAAAGAACATCAAACTAAATTGTAAAATAGTAATCAGTAAAATTCTTTGGTTGGAAAGTAGTTGAAAAGAACAGACTAGACAAGTAAGAATAAAAAATAACTTAACTTAATAACTCAGTCTTCAATAAACCCCAAACATAAACTGCAGAATCCCCTATTTGACAACAGTTACTTGTCAAATGGGAAAATGTTAAAGTGTAGAAGAAACTAGATTTGGACCAAGATCTTAGATACCATAATAAAGGATGCCAAGGAGTTCATGCACAATATTATACATAGGATCGTAGATTAGAGCCAAGAAGTATCTTCAAGGTCACCTAATCTCACTCCCCTCATTTTATAGATGAAAAAAACTGTTGCACAGAGTTAAGTGACTTATCCAAGGTCACTTAGGTAGCAAATAATAAGCAAAGGATTTGAAATGACTTTTAACTTCAAATCCAATGGTTTTTTTTTCCACTACACATAATCTCCTTAGGACTTTGATGAATCTCCAGAATCCAAAGCTCAAAAAAAAAATGCTAATTTTTGACAAATTCTAAAAATAAACACAGCAAATATGTGTACATCCATTTTGGATAATGACTGTTATAGGTATGAGAAGGCTACAGCATCATTAACAAAAATTATTCAACAAAAGCAACATAAAATATGAACGATTAAAAATTATATACATCAAAAAAATGAATAAAATGCCATCTGAATACATGAATATGCATAAATGCAATACACTTGTGTCATAAGAAATAATAACAAGGATAGGGAAGTGGACAAAACCAGAAAGACAATTTATACAATAACACTGTAAAAACAAACAACTTTGAAAAATTTAAATTCTTTGACAAATACAATATCCAACCATGATTCCAGATGGTGAAGAATACTATCCTCCTCCTGACAGAGAGGTGATAAAATCAATATGTAGAATGAGATTTTTTTTTCATATGGCCAATGTGGGAATTTGTTTTCCTTGACTGAATATTTATTATAAGGATTTTCTTTTTTTTTTTAATTGTTCAAGAGATAGGAAGAACTGGAGTTAGAAACAAAAAATTAAAATATCTGGACATCAGCCAAGATAGAATATTAGGAAGAAGCGGTGCAGCCCAGCTCCCCTGACAACTCATCCTAAAGAGATATGATCAGCACCAGATCAAATACTGATTAGAAATCTAAGGAGACAGACATAGATTTTAGATAATTAATCATTTTATTATTTTTTATATTTTATTTTTATTATTTTTTATTAATTATTGTTAACTAATTATTAATTAATAAAAGGGTCACTTAGCTATCTCTTCTAAACCAAAGAGTGGATGTTCCTGAGGGTAGAAATCAACCCTGATTGGTTAACAAGTAATGAAAGAATTAATATTATAATGAGAAGTGGACTTATTCTAATAAAAGCCTGAGGGATGTAACTCTAATCACTCAGTATTTGTCAAAGAGATTTATCAATACCCATACCACCCCATCTAGTTATCTAGACAAAAGGGAGAATCCATTTCCACCCAAATCTGTCTGACTAAAACACAATGGGCCAGAATCCGTCAATTTACCTAAACCAGAATTTCTTTACTTTTCAATCAGATCTAAATTTTCCATCTCATTATCAGACCTGTACTTCAAAGACTACCTGAATAACCTGTAGGGGCTAATTTCTGAATGAGGAAATAGGAAGGGGTAAAATCTTAGTCTCAATTCAATAATTGGTTATCAATATAAAAGAAAAATCATCTTTTCTCTCATCAAAGTGAGTCATCTTTTCAGCAAGATCACAAATATAACCAAAAGGCAAGCAACCAGGGCATGAGCTATGGAATAGGTGTTGTCCAAAATAATCAAATCTAGTATATTAGAGTTTGATAAACTCAAAGCCCCAACTACTGGAGTAAGGACTCACTATTTGACAAAAACTAATGGGAAAACTAGAAAGCAGTCTAGTAGAAATTAAGTTTAGACCAGTGATTCACATTATATAATAAGATAAAAATAGGCATATCACCTAGATAGAAAACAAGTTAGAGGAGCAAGAAATTACTTTTCAGCTCTAAGAATAAAGAAACCATTCATGATCAATATAGCTATAAAAGGCTTTTAAAGAAAAAAAATGGACAACTTTGATTGCATAAAATTAAAAAGTTTTTGCACAATTAAAAGGAAAAAAAACGATTGGGGGAAATATTTGCATAAAGTTTCTCTAACAAAGATCTCATTTTCAATATATATAAGGAACTGATTTGAATTTCTAAGAATAAGAGCCAGTCACCAATTGATAAATGCTCAAAGGATAAGAACAGACAGTTCTCAGAGGAAAATTCTAAACTATCTATCTCATACACACATATGTATATAAAATGAAGCAACAGAAAGGACTGGTGTTGCATATCTGTGGTCTCTGCTGCTGAAGAGATCAAAGCTGGTATACTGCTTTAGTTCAAGAGTTCTAAGCTACCATAGGGCTAACACTGATTGATTGTCAACATTAAGTCTAGCAACTAAGATAGTGAACCCCCAGAAGTGGAGGACCATAAGTCCACCTAAGGAAAAATGGAGATCAGCTCGGAGAAGTAGAGTTTAAAGCTCCCATGCCACTCAGAATTTGCATTCAGTCAATGAGTAGCTACTGCATTTACAGCCTCGGAAAGATAGAGAGGCCCAGTCTCAAAGAAGATGAAAACCAAAACCAAAGGAAAAAAATGAGGAAAGAAATAGTTTCAGTGAAA